CTTCAGGCTCAAATCCTTCCCTCAAATGCCCGTACACCAGTGCGAGGTGGGAAGAGTCGCTCTTTATGTGAAAGAGGAACTGGAATGCCTGGAGCTCCACCTGGGAGTGGATGATGAGTGAGTTGAGAGCTTGTGGGTAAGGTTTAAAGGATAGGCTAGTAGGAGACACAGTGGTGCATGTATGCTGCAGGCCACCTGGTCAGGATGATGAGGTCGATGAGGTCTTCTACAGACAGTTGGAAGTTGCCTTGTGGTCACAGGCCCTGGTTCTCATGGGAGACTTCAACTCCCTTGACAGGAGCTGGAAAGGGAGCCCAGCGAGGCACAAACAGTCCTGGAGGTTTCTGCAGGGCGTTGATGCTAACTTTTTGACGTAGGTTGTGGAGGAGCCAGCGAGGAGAGGTGGGCTACTGGACCTCATACTGACAAGTAGAGAAGGACTTGTTGGAGATGTGAAGGTAGYGGGTAGCCTTGGCTGCAGTGATCATGAGTTGGTAGAGTTCAGAATGCAAAGAAGAGGAAGCAGGGCTGTAAGTGGCCTTGTAAGCATGGAGTTAATCATGCTGACTAACTAGAGTGCTGACTTTGGCCTCTTGAGGGACCTCCTTGGAAGAATCCCATGGGCTAGGACTCCAGAAGGAAGGGAGGCCCAAGAGAGCTGGTTAGTTTTCAAGCAACACTTCTTCCACGCTCAGCAACGATGCATTCCTATGAGTAAAAWGTCAGGCAGGGAGCCAGGAGACCTGTGCGGATGAGCAGGGAGCTCCTGGCAAAAACCAAAGCAGAAGAAAGCAGTATAAAGAATGTGGAAGAAAGGACAGGYCCCTTGGGAAAAATAGAGGAATGCTGTCAGGGAATGCAGGGACGCGACAAGGAAAGCTAAGGCACGCTTGGAACGAAATCTGGCAAGGCATGTTAGAAATAGTAAGAGGAGCTTCTTCAAATATATCAATGGCAAAAGGAAGATGAGGGAGAACGTGGGTCCGCTGGTGAACGGGGTGGGTGCCCTGGTTATGAAAAACACAGAGAAAGCTGAGTTGCTGAATGCCTATTTTTTACTTCACCTTGTGTTTACCAAGGGCAGCCCTCTGGAATCCCAGACCCTAAGGACTACAGAAGAGGCCAGGAGAGAGGAAGACTTGTCCCGGGTAGAGGAAGATTAGGTCAAAGAGCAATTAGGGAAACTTGATTCCCACAAATCCATGGGTCCTGATGGGATGCAGCCCAGAATGCTGTGTGAGCTGGCACCAGAAAAYTCAGATTTTTGTTAAAATACTCAGCATTTTTTTGCCTTTTTGCAGTTTTCCTCGATGTTCTTGTGTGAGTGTTTCTGAGCTAGATTCACAGCCACCATTTTTCAAATACTTGGGGAAATCGTAATGTAAACTGTCATTTAGTCAAAGCTCCAATTCTCCTGTTTTATTCCCCCGATGTTTCTATTGAACTGCCAGTTACTAGGAGGGAGGGAGTCCCTCTCAGCCTGCATCTATATCGACAAGGATATTTACTGAAGCATCACTTTATTGCAGAAGTGATATTTACAGCAGTGGGATCAGCGTAAGGCAAAACACATGATGTAAAGGGTGAAAGACAGCGGAGAAATGAATTGCTTTAAATACAACCCTTTTGACAAATTGAGATCAAAAGAACTACTGTTTATCCTTKAAGCTGCAAATGGCTGGCAAATATCCTCGTGCTCTTATGCTGTAAATAGTAAATGCTGTTTATGGCTAGTCAATGTTTATGTATTTTATAGGTCACATTT